GAAATTACATTTCCTACTGCCCAATAGAAACCTGGCAGCTTGCTTCATGAACACTCACACACACCTTCAGCTACTGCATCTCTGTGCTCTAAGATTATAGCACTACCTAGAGGAACCTTGTATTGCTCTCGGGTTACTTTTTTGTACACTGGGAAAAAAATGAATTTCTTATTCAGTATTGTTTTGTCTTATACAGTGCTGTTTTGTCTTTGAAGTTTATTGTTCATACCCCATTGACATTTTTTTTTCTTCTTTTAAGTATAAACTCAAAACTTAAAATTAAACTTAATCAAGCTAAATTTTGATATAAAAAAAAAAAAAATGAATATGTACTAGTAAGTACTAATAAGTAAAGTAAGCTAATAAATAAGCTTTATAAGTGCTAATAAACAGCCAATATGTTAATAATAGGCATGCTAATAAGCAACTAGTTAATAGTGAGAATTGGTCCCTATACTAAAAAAATTAAAAATAAAAATAAATAAATCACTCTTTGCATTGTAGCTTGTGAGAATTAATAAAGTTAGAAATGTATGAACTTTGCTTTTTTCTGTACATTTCTATGGAGACAAAAAAATGGACACAATTTAGTCAGTTAACATTGATGTACAGTAAAAGTATAAATCAATAAAATAAAGTTTATTAGCGTAAATAAAGCTGATCATTTAAACTCAAATGGAAAATTTCTAAATGAAATCTTTAGCTTATAATAGCAGACATTTGTATCTGGTTTTACGTCAGAACCCAGTGGCCGGCTGCATATGATGCTTAGAATAGTCTTACATGTTAGTAATCTAGTTATTTTCTTTACGCTAGTTGCATAAAATGTAGATTTGTCTAATATGAATCTGAAAAATAATAACTGCTTGTTGGTCAGACTAGCTCTTAAGACGCAGTTTTAACATACAGTAGATGTTTATGTAACTGGTCCCAGATTTTACAATTGTGACCCAACACAGTACTAAACCTAACCTTAATTTAATGTGGTCTGGGTTTTATTTTCTTGCATAGATTTGCTGACGTGCCCAACCAAGTTTAGCAAATCACTGGTGAATTTCAACCAAAATATTATATATGGTTGAAACAATATGGGAAGTGTTTTTTTTTTTTTTTGTATTGCCTTTTTCTCAGGAAGCAGATCTGAGAAGCAGAAGAGTTTCTTCAGAGAAAGCTTCATTTTTTTCCCCTTTGTAATCTTTATGAATGATTTAATACATAATCCACTGTTGTGCACAAGAAACAACTGAGACATAAGAGTCTCAGTTCAATCACACAATCTTTTTTTATTTATTTTTTATTTTTTACAGATCAAAATTTTGACCATCAGTATTCTAATTCTGACTTCACACTGTATAAAGCAGATTATAAGAGACGGATATCAATGATGAGTCTAAAATGCACAGAAATGAAGATGGATGAATCGTCCCTGACTTGTCACATATTATCATATCTTTTTAAAGACGTGTCCCTGACATTTCTTTCTGTTCATCCAGCCTGTCGGGCTGTCCAATAGCGGCTGCAGAGAAGCTGGCCAAAGCCCACGAGAAACATCAGTCATGTGATGGAGGCAAATCCAACCAGGCTTCAGATCGTGTGCTCAGGTAACTGCTCCTCATTGCTTACACTGACACAACAGATCAAGCTGAGAATTTGTTTCTTAGCTGGAAACTGAGTACATTAAAATAGGCAACAATCTGTGTTGAATTTTCTGTGCAAAGTTCATGAAGTGGAGAGTATGCATTCATTCATGATACACCATAGACCGCTGGTTGAATCTGTTCCAGGCCCATGTGCTTCGTCAAACAGCTGGAGATTCCACAGTACGGCTATAAAAACAACGTGCCCACTTCAACCCCACGATCCAACCTGGCCAAAGAGTTAGAGAAATACTCCAAAACCAACTTTGACTACAACAGCTATGACAACACCAACATCTACAGCAAACGGCACACTGCTGCACTCAAAGTCCACAGTCGGGACACACTGCCCAAAACTGATGATGGTAAGACCACAGCATTCACGCGTCTGCGCTATGATATCAATACACGCCACTGTTCAAAAGTTTGGGGAAATCATTGTAATATGCTGATTTGATGCTCAGTTATTGTTAGTGAGCAATTATTAATAATGGTTCTTATTATTATCAATGTTGAAAACAGTTGTGCTATTTCATATTTTTGTGGAAACTGATACTTTTTTTTCCTTTCAGCATTCTTTGAATAGAACGTTCAAAAGAACACTTATTTGAAATAGGCATCTTTTGTGAACATTATAAATGTCTTTACTATCACTTTAAAATGTTTAAAATGTCATTGCCAACTTTTGTTATTGTTAACTAAAACTAAAACCATAAGAAAGTAAATTGCTGAAAAATACTGAAATAAAATAGAATATTACATTTACATTTATGCATTTAGCAGACACTTTTATCCAAAGCGACTTACAGTGCATTCATGCTATACATTTTCTACCAGTATGTAGAATTATGTATAGTATATTATATACTATATAATAACTAAATAGTCTAAAACAAATTACTAAAATTACTAAAAACTCTAGACATTTTTTTAAATGACAAAAACAACAAAATTGCTAAAACAGAAATATAAAAATCTGAACATAAAGTCTAGTTCAAAATATTAATAAAAACTTAGTAGTATAAAACGTGGTAGTATAAATCATAATGACCCCGAACGTTCAAATGGTAGTGGTGTATAAGATACACAGCAACCCCAAAAAAAATAAAAATAAATATCTGGACACATATGTTACTGTTTAAAATGTCTGAATGTTATTGCATTAGATGATAGCAAAACATCAAAGTAAATGTTCTCTCAATTTCTGCAGGAGCTTTTCTCAGAATTAACTTTACTTTGCTTGAGCCATTTTTGTAATGACTTTTGACTAACAGAACCCCCCAAGGAACAGCTGTACAGTGACACTTTTTTTTTTTTTTAATTAAACAGCAGGAAGTACGGAAATATATGTTCTGTGGTGACAGGGGTGGATGGCCTGTCAAGGAAAATTACAAAGATCTTATAACGCCATATTTTATTCTAACAACATGAACATTTATGGACATAACATGTGTTACAGATTTCAGTTTAATAAAAAGGTTATTCCCACGTATCTGATTGAGACTCAAATCTGTAAAAGATTTTACAGAGTTAAAGCAGATTATTGAGCTGATTAATTGATTTTTTTTCTGGATTATATACCAAAACTATAACATATGTAAGCAATAAGGTATGAGAGGCCGTGCTGTATCGTGAATAAATCACGGCTGAAGGGCGTTGTTTGGCACAACACGAAGCGGAGTAATGACTAAAATATGACTAAAATAGTCATATTTTAGTCAAAAATTTTTTTGGGTTGCTGTCTCTTATACACCACTACCATTTTAACATACTGGTAAAAAATGTATAGCCTGAATGCACTGTAAGTCGCTTTGGATAAAAGTGTCTGCTAAATGCATAAATTATTATTATTAAATTATTACCATTTGAACGTTCGGGGTCATTATGATTTATACTACCAAGTTTTATACTACTAAGTTTTTATTAATATTTTGAACTAGACTCTAATCATCCGCTGTGTCATTTATTTTTTTAACACCATATATTATATTTTCTCACACACAAACATCTGCTTATCTCTCAGCATGAGAAAACGTCTGTTTTCAGTCTTTTGGTTTTAAATAGGGATGCGCTGATCCGATATTCATATCGGGTATCGGCTCTGATAGTGCCATTTTTCTCGGATCGGGTATCGGTCAGAGAGAGCTGATCCAAATCCGAGATTTATTTATTTATTTTTTCTCGATTGTGCGAATTATTCTGTGTTACTTCTGAATCCATACGATAGCTTAATGTGAGCTACATATGAATATTTAAGTCCTTACATTAAAGTTCACACAAACTCTTTTCTCGGCTGTGGCTGTCAGTCATTCGTTCAGCCTTTAAACCCTGGGGCAAGTTCAAGCTCAAACCGGTGTGCACCTTTTTGCTACGGTTTCCGGTTTGAACGACATGTTTCCTGTAAACGGTGTGCAACGGGGTTTGAGATGCGTTTTCTCTTGTTTGGTGGGTGTGTCAAACATGTCAGCCCAATCAGC